TTTCCATTTAAACTTTCCTTTACTAGATTATATGCCTAAATATAGAATTAAGCCTGTTAATTTCGTCATTTATATAGGAAATGATAGCTGTTTCAATAGGGGTCTGACGTTACGATGAAACTGTTGGAATCCAAGGAAATAAAACTATGCCATTCGATTTATTACAAAAAAGGACTATTAATGCTTACATTTTCCAACAGAATTCAAGTACATCTTTTATATTTATTTCCTCTTGGAAGAAAAAATTAGTTTTCGACAGATTTACTTTTATTTCTCATTAAATCGAATACGTATAGAATATATAAATCTATCAAAACGAAACTCTAACATCTTTTTCTTGATGAAACAACACTACAAATTCTTGTTAAGAGATGAAATAATGTAAATGAATTTTTTCTGCATGTGAAAAACTACTGTAACACTAAGTTTTGAAAACAAAAACAAATACTTAAAAGAAGAATTTATTTGAAATACGATGCTTTTGATTGAACACAGTTTTTCATTTAACGTTTGAAGAATATCTTTTTTATTTAGTTTTATTGAACATTTCACAAAGTAACTTGAAAACGTTGTTTAAATCAAAGCTCTAAAACTTTGACTATTATATGCAACATATTCTGAGCCATATGTTGTTTATATTAGAGAAAATAGTCGTTAATATTTATCCTGTATGGGTAAGAAGCTGTTAAGTACAAGTTTCACATAATATAAGACTATTAGAGGTAGAGTTTCGTTTTGATAGATTAATATATTCGATATAATGAGAAACAGAATATACACGAAGTGGTCGATTTAGAAACATACTAGAAAGCTGTACTATTCGACTTTTTTATGATGTACAACAGTAGAGTTCTAAGAAAAATATATTTGTTCTTCGGCAAAGTTAGATAACTTAACTCGATATATCTATAGATAGTAAACATGAAGTTAATTACATTCTACTATACAAAATTTCAATCTTTTTCCTTCTATGTACAGTTCAACTAAAATATATATTTTTTTTTAACAAATTTATTCAAAAATCGACTTACCCTTTCCACTTTTTTAACAACAAAATTAAATACTAGAAAAACTATATCCATAATTTTCTTATTTTATAAAAAGAGTAGACAGCTTTTATTATTTAGCTTATGAATCTATGAGCAAATATAATAAAGGAAAGTGCAAAAGCAGTAGATATATTTAATGAGGACATTTTACACTTCCAACATTTGTCGGAAAATATACATTATAAGGACATGTTTGAGTTATTTTCTCTCGCATTCCTTTATGTTCACTTCCGATAACTATAATAGGTCGTTGTAGATTAGAATCTAAGTATAAACTTTGTACCGGAGTCTTTTTTTTTGAAAATGTGGGTGTGAGTTTAAATGAATGAGAATATAATTAATAGAGAGACAAAAATAGTATTCATATTCATACTGTAATAAACGGTCTTCTGTCTACATTCATTAATCTCAATTAATTTAGATCTTACTTCAACAAATGTCCAAATATTGTACAATAATTCTCTAGATATTGTTCCATAATCAACTTTTTGTAAACTCTCATAATTATTTCATTTAAAAGAAATAAGTTATTCAGTCGAGCGAATGTATATATTGAAGTTCATCCTCATTTAATACACGACATCACTATACTATAATCAAAGAGTAATCAAGTTTAAAAGCATATCTTCTTTCTGTACAAGTTGCGTGCATCGGAAATCGAAGTCCCAAGAAATATAGATTTTATCTTTGTCTCTTTGTTCTGAATCATGATCTTTTACTTAATTGAAGACAATGTAAATCAATTACAATACTTATTATACTTGACAAATAGAATAACTTATAAAACGACTAAGTGTGTGTAAAGTATCTTTTATCAGTTTTTATCCTTTTGATGCTTCAAAGTTCAATGCGCGAACGCATCAAACTAGAAAAAAATTATCCGCCATGGTACACGTTTTTACTTCATCAAAAATATATTAATGAAGCATATACGTGGAGAGAAGATTGTTTTGAGTATCTTCTACTCTGCGGAAGGTAAGATAACTCGTTCAATTCGGACCTGTAAACAAAGTCATGGAGTTTGAACGAGAAGTTTATTTTGCTCCTACTTTGATACATTGTATATAGAAAAAGCTACAGCAAAAATTTTACAGTCAACGATTTTTTCTGTTTTTTTTTGTTTCTTTCAGTTGTAAATGACTCACTTAATCATATTCTTTCCTTTGGTTTCTTTCATTAGATTTATATTACTAGAGGTAAAAACTAAATTTCATAATTCTCACATTTTATGGCGTAATTCAATAATCAAATTTAAAAGAATATCGAACCTATGATATTTTAAGGATATAATATATGATGGTTTAAAATAGTAATGTTTATAAACATGTCTAACATTGTTATAATTCTTAATTATGTACAATGAATATTGTTCGATTTATTATTAATACTATAAATTTATTATATACAGAAATACTCGCACGCATATAAGAAGATTTAATTTAAATATCTACTATGGCTATATTTTTTACTTGATAAAGTTTACCAGCTGTATTAATATGTAAACTGCATATATCTAAATATATATTAACTAAAGGGATACTCAATAGTTCATGTTTGTTAAACGATCACATCTAGTCGAAAATCTTGTGTTGAATAATGTAATAAATTGAAAAAATGAGAGAATATTTATTTTAATAGGATTAATGTTTTTTTTCTTATTGCTGTATATCGTAGATATAGAGTATTTTGCAAGAAGAATCATACTCATAGTATATTATATTTTGTTATTCAATCAGTAACGTTTGTAAGAATGGAATATTATACATACATACTCACTTATTCAATCTTCGGATTCGTTGTTCTTCATCTTGTCTAACTCTATAAATCTTTTGTGCACAACATAATATTCATATAATAAAGATAAATTTGTTTGTTTCTTTTCTTTTTTCTCTCTCAGCTATTTTTAATAGTCTTAAAGAGTCATCGCGTTCATTCTGTTATTATTGTATGCAATGTATACACAACAGCATAATAACGATTCTTCATTAAATAATTTATCTGAAGCTACTGCTAATAGATCAAGTACTATTGACAGTGACGAATAAAAGGAAAGATGAACTCCCATCGGTGACTATGATACTAGCGCTCAAGTCATAATACTTCTGTTGTCAAACAAGTTGAATAGTTCATTGATCCTATTCTAGGAACACAGACTGGCAGAAATAAAAATAATAATCAGTAAAATTATTATCATGAAAGAGACCTTTTGACACTATATTTACTTTTTATTCAAGTAAAACTTGTATCGTTAAACTTTTTAATATATTATTTAAGGTTTTCTTTTCTAGTTATATAAGATTTAATCTTCATATAAGTATTCATCATTGAACAAAATAATGTGTACTATAGTCTAGCTTTGTAAAGAATAACATATGAAAGCAAATAATTTAATTTATTTCGAAATCTATTCTTTATTCACTGTTTGTTATTTCTAATATAAATATTTTAAAATTTTTTATAAATTCTAACGAACAGAAAGTAATTTAATCAATAGCAAAATTATTGTTTTCAAAAATGTACATAAGAGCATTTATAATATAGCTTGTCATCATACAAGTGCTGAGTTTCGATTATACAGATCACATGACGTGGAAAATAAATTATGAAGGGAGAAAAAAAGGAAAAACTGTCCTCATTTCCCTTTTCTTTCTTTAAAATAAGAAAAATCGCACTTCATAATCTTTTTTTTAATAGCAAATAATCAAACACAAGAGAAACACCATCGACCGTTAATATTCTTCTTTTCTATCTTTCCTCTGTTTTATAGATAAAAAAAATATTTTATTACAGTGATCACATAAACCGTCTCGCACTATATTCCTATATAACATACTCGCTCGACTCTAACCTACATGAAACACTAATAAACAAAGGTGGACACATTTATTATGTCTGCATCTGGTAATCATGACATAGTCAAACATACAGGTTCATCATCTATGGGAAGTTCTAGAGGAGATGATACTATTGGTCAATTTATTTTTTTTTCGAGAGTAACATCGTAATAAAAAAAACAGGCAACACTCTATTGAGATATAAAAGATTGTACATATACATAGATTTTTTTCTACTTTTAATGAGCGTATAATAAAAAGAAAGCTTCACAGTTTACTCATATTCAATAAGTTCTAGTATCTATGTATCAAAATGTACACCGTATGGAAAAAATTAAGGATAATATACAGTAACCACTTTGACGATGTGGATGTTTGAATATTTCTTATTCACTATGTAGATGGTTTTAATTGGATTAATTTAAGATGTTTGCTATTCGGTGAGACCGATCATTTAGGAAGGTTGAAATCGTGGTCATGACAGTTAGTCACACCCGCACTCTCAGCTTTAGAAATTATTATTTTAAAGTATATTATTCTAGATTAAACGTTAATTTTCCTACAATTCGTCATTCACGATCTTATCCAACACTTAAAAGTTGAATGAAAGTATACAGATTCTAGCTTAATGCAAAAAATAGAAGAAAGAATTTAAGTTTTGACAACAATTTCTTTTTCAAAAGCGTGTTAATGAACGACTATTTTTGTATTTTGATTTTATGTCTGTTGAATGATTCGAACAAATGTATCACTATACTAAAATGTACTGACTTATTTGGTTTTCTTCTGAATATATAACAGTATGTTAACTACTTTAAAGTGTAACTACAATGTGCGAACATTTATATATTTGAATGAAGCAGTTGATTGTGACAACAGAATGGATAAAAATCAGAGAAGAAGAGAAAGAAAAAAACATTCAGTTGTTTCTTTCTGTTCGTAAAGTACATACATCATACAGTATACGTTACTAAGTACTTTTTTTGACCTTTATGCATGGTTTACAATGACAATGCATGATGACGATATATAAATCGAGAAAAGAAAGTATCTGAATTTATTTATTATCGTCAAAAAGAAGAAAAACATACTATCACTATACTTTATACAACATAAAATGGCATCGTTTGCAACACCATTAAAACTTGGATCATTACTCCTCAAAAATCGTGTGATTATGGCAGCATTAACTCGTAATCGAAATCTTGTTCCCGGCCCACTTCAAGTAGAGTATTATACACAACGAGCTACTGCCGGTCTTATACTTACAGAAGCTACACTTATCGAACCAATTGGTACAGAATGGAACAATGCTCGTTAGTATTTTTTTTCTATACTTTTCTTTTTCTTATATCTGATTTATGTTTAGCTGGTATTTACTCAGATGAACAAGTAGCCGGTTGGAGGAAGATTGTCGATAGTGTTCATGCACATAATGGTCATATATTTATTCAGTTATGGCATATCGGACGAGTAGCTCATCCACTTCTTCAAAATGGTCGACCTAATGTTGCACCATCAGCAATAGCTGCTAAAGGTGGTAAATTTCGACAATTACCAGGCGCTCCTGGTTACGTTACACCAGTTCCTATTGATGATCCTGAACATTATATTGCTTTGTATAAACGTGCTGCCGAACGTGCAAAAGAAGCTGGATTTGATGGTGTCGAGTTGCATAGGTACGAGATTTTTTATTCGTTATTTTATTGAAAAAACGTTGCTTTTTATTTAGTGCAAATGGTTATTTACCAAACCAATTTATCGATAATACATCCAATCAAAGAACAGATAAATGGGGTGGGTCAGTAGAGAATCGATGTCGATTTTCGTTACGTATTATTGATGAAATTTGTGGCGTTTATGGGAATGATCGTGTTGGTATCAAGTTATCACCAGGTGGTGGTTATAATGATATGGGCATGACTGAAAAAGACACTGTTGAAACTTATGGATATCTTATTAAAGAACTGACTTCTAGACGCATTGCTTACATACAATTAGCACGCTATTGGTCTTTAGGAGATCCAACAAAGCGTGGAACTGATGTTGATATATTCCAGTGGAGAAACTTAATTGATTCGGAACATACAAAACTTTTTGTTAATACTGACTATGATAGTGAACAAGGTGCAAAAACGTTAAAAGATGGTTTAGCTGATGCAATCGTATTTGGGCGATTCTACATTACAAATCCTGATTTAGCACAGCGCTTAATTAACAAGCAAGAATTAAATACAAATTATAATTTTAAAACATTCTATGACGGTGATCATACTGGATATACTGATTATCCAACCTATGAACAAGAACATGTCGTGCCTGCTTAGATGCTTATGTATACAAATTTTTTCATTTCATCAAAAAAAAAACATGACATTGTATAAGCTTTTTCTCAACTGAGATTTTATAGTAATAATAAAAATAAAATTAAAATTTAACTAATCAATGTAATAGATTCATAACTAATCGTCGTATACATGTATGACAAGATCTTGTGTAATGCTCTAAATCTATATTTTATCTGAAATATTTCATTAGAAAGATTCAGATTTTATATTTATCGCTATTTTCAGCGTTAACAACTAACATTTTGAACATGAAATGCGCATATTTTAACAACGTCTTATGTATCGTTATCTACCTTAATTAAAAATGATCAGGATACTGTTAATGAACTATATAAAGTTTGTTTAATTAAATATTTTTGAACACAAAGAAATCCTAATGATCAGCAGTATTTTGCTATGTAATTTCATCAAGCAAAAACGTTTATTCCTATCTAGTATGTTTTTCTGTCTTAATTATTTATAATATCCATCGAAAATTAATTACATTAGGTATAATTCTCAATCTTATGAATCTTTCATTCAAAAGACTTTTACTGATTAAACCAAGCTTTTTTTATATATTCTATTTATTCTTATTACTATTTAATAAATAAGCAATTTTACTAAATTAAACATAGAAGTATCTAGAAGAACTATACTATGAAAACTAGTAATAAAAAATAGAAAAACTAACTTATCATCAAGTTGATTTTGTAAATATTTTCCATATAGATCGATTTAGTTTCCCTTTTCTATTCAAGTGAATGAATAAATCTAAATATTATATTAATCAGGGATGTCCGTATAAATACTATACTCATTTTTTATCGTCACGCACATTTTTATTTATCATCCTTCCATTATTTTGAAAGAAGATATTAGAATAATTTATTAGATTTAATACGCCCATCAATATAGTTTGATGAATATTCATAAATATATCCTTAAGGGTTTTGAATCAAAGATGAATCTATATGATAAAAGAACGGTTATATGCAAAGCTTTACTAACGATTTAAACGATTAGGAACTTTGAATGTTTAGCTTGATTTTCAAAAAATTATGAAGTTCAACTTTTTTGATTGATCAAATAAGTCAGACTGAAGAATATCGAAAACCAAAAATTTTTATTTAATCTTTTAGTAATTACCATTTTTTCTCAATAACTTTGTCTTGACTGTCAGAATGAAATTAGAATTAGGAACAAATATATTCATCACTATTACCTTAATTTTTCACACTCACATCCTCAAGTTTTTATAACACGTTTTTTCCAATTAAAATGTAGTCATTTTTATAATTAATACGATATACTATGCAAGAATTTTTTTTTATTGAATACAACAATGAATATTATTAGTAAAGGTGATTCGATTTGTACTTTACAATAAAATTAAGCCATTTTCTATACTAATGTAATAAGCTCTCAAGTATTTTACTCTTGTCTTAATAACACATACATAAAAAAAAGTTTCTTTTGAACATACCTGTTTGTAAATATTGATAAAGATTTCTGAACAATACAGGATTATTATAGAAAAATGTTCCTTAAAAATTAGATAAATATAAATTACTTTATCCGAATGAATTCTGGTATAAGAATCAACAGAAATAATTCATATGAAAAAACATCGAGGAAGAATGCTTGCTAGTTTATATCAAAGCAGAATGAGAAAAGTTTTATTGGAATAAATGCAATAACATGCGATGCAAACGTCTTCACATAAATATCAAACTCTATTAAGCCATATTGTAGATTTCTTAACTAATGACATTTTGTTTTGTTCGAGCGAGTAATGTCAGAACCACAGACTTTTTATGAGATATATTTTGCCAGAACAAATCTGAGAAGATGAAAAAGTCAAAAATAAAAAATCTCTAAAAATAATTCTTGCAAATTAACTATCGAGCAACATCATTTTCTATTTTCTCTTAAATTTTTTATATTACACGGAAATAAAAAAAGATGCCTAGTGATAGTACTTATAGCAAAAAGACTGCTCTTTCTAATTATGTACGGGAAAGTAAATCTATTCTTAGTTTTTATATGAAAACATCGCTTCTACTGGAAGAGACTGAATCATTCAGGCGTTCTCAGTATCTGCTTGTTTAACAACGGTAAAAATATTTTTGAATTAAGTTTTTCTGCTCAGTTTCATTCATGCATAATTTTTGCAGACTACGACTGATATTCTTTCAAACTGATAATTCTTGCAAAAAAATAACTCTATAACACTTTTGATACATTACATTTTTGTATATTTTTTGTTAAAATTTGGTCTATGTAACTCAGAATAATTGCAGAAAACGTTGTAAGAAATTTATTTAGAGGAGTTTGATTTTAGACTTTCCCTTCGTCCAAGATTTGTTCTGGAAAAATATGTCTCATAAAAAGTTTGTAATTCAGTCATTACACATTTGAACAAAATAAAATTCCATTAGTTTAGAAATCTGCTATACAGTTCAATATAACTTGACATTTATGCCAAGGCTTTTGCATCGCATGCTAGTCTATGAAACGTTAACAATATATATATATGCATACCCATATTATCATGATCTTTCTTATCTAGGCAATGATTTGATAATTGTGATGAAATCAAATCTAATGTTGTTGTCGATATTTTTTCAGATACGAATAAAGTAATTTATTCTTTAGATGTAACACTTTAAATTTCATTGACTGTAAGAATAATCAATGATGCAAATGATTTTTGAAAATAATCAATTCGATTGAGAATAGATCGGACTATATTTTTATTTAATAGAAATTCGTCTAATACACTTGCTATTGCAAGACGTACAATAATTAAAACTTCCCTCAACAATATTTATGAAATAAATCTTTTTTGAATCAATCAAATGAGCAACGGTTATATATATCTATTGAATTATTAATGAGAATATATTTTAGTTGAACACTTATGCCTACACAACCACTTTCATCCGAATCGATGTCTTAAATTTTTTAATAATACGACGAAATTATTTTGAATTAATTTTGACGTATTTATCTTTGTCTTTTTTTTCATTTCTTGTCTTATCAATCAACTGATTGAATTCATTGAATAGATGAATATAAAGATATTCAGATGTATTACATGCCGTACTAACCCTTTTACAAGAAATTGTTTTTTACTGAAATTTATATTAAATTTTTTCAATACTTGAATAACCATCAAATATGACAAAATAAGAATTTTTTTTCATTTCTGATCATCAAAGAAATATATTAAATGTTGATGAACAACATTCTTGTATTAAACTAAATTCAAAGTGCTTTCTACCGATTGTTTCTCTATTGATCGATGGTTCATCATCTACTGATTAATGTAACAGTTCAAATAAAATAGAAAATAATGTTACATCTCTTATTTAAAATATTATCTAGTTTTCTATCGTTCGATTACTACTAGGAGTAGATTAATGTACACTACATCTACCAAATACTTCAAATCTGAACTAGCACTGTACTTTTTTTATTTTTATTCCTCTTATGATGTGAAAGAAATATTTGTCATAAACACATAGTCTTATTTACAAAATATATTTTTTATTCAAGGTTCAAGTGAAAGGTACAGATTTTCGTACTTAAATATAAATAGAAGTTCTTGTTCTTAAAGTATAAGTATAATACTTTTATTTGAAGTAGCGGTGCAGAAGAACTATATTTATATAAACAAGATCTAATACAAACAAACATAGAAATAACATCTGCAGTGCTATTTTTCTGTCTAAACTTAATGAATTATTGATCATATACAAAAGACATTACTACTTTAACTTTTTCTTGAATTAATATATAGTCATATGATTAACCTTCATCTGATTTAATAGACGAATGTTTTAAAGTAGAGTATTGTTTCTGCATTCAATATATTGTGCCATGAAAGAATCACAAATATGAGAGATGAAGAAATAATAAAGACCAGAGGTATTTAGAAAATAATAAATTTGAATAATTATTATACAATGGGGTAGTAGAAGTGAACATTCAAGACACAGAAACAAATCGATTGGCAATGAATCATGTATCACAAGATGAACAAATCAGAAGAAAGACCAAAGAACAAGTTAACTGACGTAATACACTTGACTGATTTATTCAGTTACATCATCAAATAATAAAAAATATAAAAAAAAATGATAAAATTAACTGGAAAGTGAAGGTGTATTCATTATCATATCTAAAAACAAATAGTACAAGTGAATTACATTTCGAACGAATGACCTGATTTTTTTTTATTGGATATGTCCTTGCAATCGACGAACCATTACCTGGATATGTATTTGCTGTTGAAAAACCTACATCTGCTGCAGTAGTAACTACTTGAATGAACCTTTTCTTCGGTATCCAGGTCGAACAATCTGGCACGGAAGCGGCTAGTTTCCTAAAGGATTTTTCACAAAAATTCATGGAATCCTGCTTCAGGAACCATCGTCCTGGAAACTAAAAAAGATGTTAGCAAACAAGAAGAAACAATTTTTTACGATCAATATTGAAGAAGTATAAAGATTTTGTTTGAATATCTTTTTATGATTAACTTTAAAAACTTTTGTTCTGTAAAATTGTTTCTGAGTTTTCTAATTGCAACAATATTTTATTGGAAATCTGCTCTTATCTCTAAACAAGAAAGTAGCAATAAACTATTTTATGAATGAATGCATATACATGTATATATATATGTATAATAAATTAAGTTTACTTTTATTAGCTTAGCCGTACGCTAGTGTACAAGGAAGGATTGTTAAGACACTTGCGCAGCTTCTGCTTGTAGGAACAGTTTGTCTTCAATACTTGCAAATTATTTGGTAGCACATTTTTGAAAACCGACCTTAAATTTGAAGTACCTTGGCTCGACTACTTTCGGTCAGCTTTAAAAAAAACCTTTTTTTAGAAGAATTCTATTCATATTTTTAGCAAAAACATTCTCATATATATATCTGAACACTAGGCTTGAATCAAGTTTTCTTGAAAATAAAACTTTTTTATTGAAATTA